CATTTGCTGTTATGTTAAACTTATATTAAAGTTTTTCTTCATTACCCATTCAAGCCGTCTCCAGCCATTATTAGTCTCAAAGTGGGTTCCTCGTCATCGAATCATGATCCTTGTGATCCTCAGAACTATTTGAATGTTTGTAAATATACACTAGTAAGAAACAACATTATCAAGCAATTGCGTACAGAACGTCCGGAAATTATGTAAGCAAAATTGGTTAAAGAGACGAGATTTTAGTCTCTGCTGCGGTGGCTACAAGATTTCTATTAAACCAATGAGGGAATAGAATATCAAGGTTAGAAGACAGCGATCCGACAGAAGTTTCAATACATCCACAAATATTGTTAGCGATTTGTAACATAATATCCTGATATCTTGCTCAAAAAACAAATTTATGAAACATGTATAGTGAGTTTTTGTTCTTCACCATGACTTTCTTAGCTTGTTATCACCTCTTCAAATACCCAAGAAATATTTTTGTTCTATATACTGTAAATAGAAAAGTAACGAAGCATACAGAATTTAATTACAAAAGTTGAGAAAGCACTTTGTTTTAAAATATATTCTAAGTAACAAAATAGACTGTCATACTTTATTGTTAAGCCTAAAATGTCTACATTAATTTTTTTTTTTTTTTTGCCAGAAAACATTCAAAAGAAATTCCTTGTTATCTGAATATTTTGTCTTTCTGGATTTGCATTTAGTATTAAGTGAATAAGCAATATAATAAAATTATATACTGTTTAAAGATTTGTGAAATATAAATCCATATTTTATTGGTGACTCTTTTTGCTATTTTACAACAAGTCGACGTACCCGTTCAACGCACGGGGACGACATATGAACTCCTGGGGTGAAATAGGGGTCAAATCCAAACAACGAAACACCTATGTAACTCCCCTTAAAGCCCTAAGAGTACATGCCAGATTTGGTAAAAATCGGTCCTGCGGTTCGCCAGTTATAAGCAGACACGCACACACACAAACTTTGTCAAATAATAGTTTATAAGAAAGATAATTTCTTATATTTGGTATTTAAAAATGAATTTCTAGTTAGGCAATTTTTTATGTATCTTGACCTTACATAATTCACTTAGTATTTAAATGTTTTGTATTTATGTTTTTATGATTTCTTTATCTCTTCAGATCGAGGGTGCACTGAGTCCACCAACAAAGTCTCAAGAATGATGACCTTTCCCTGGTGTATGAGCATTGTGACTTTTATGCTAGTTCAGACGCATGCCGATAATTCCTTCTCTCCAAAACCGGATGTAACAGTTCTACACCAAAATCCTCGAGGACTCAATGACGGCCGAACTCCTTATAATGTCATCACTGTAGCCCGCAGGCAGATGGAGCAAATCCCTGAGCACCTACCGAAGGTATCAGATTCTGAGCCTTCATGTGCCGAATTACGTGCCATGTGGCACAATATGCGTCGAATAGCACGACACAGCGAGATGACTAATGAAATCCCAACGATTCCTTTCTCGTTTCCTAGAGATATCCTCGATTACGCTATAAGCCAGTCAAGTTTTTTCCGGAATCATGAGTTCCCCGTTCCTTTTTCCTTCCCCATGGCAAGCAATTTTGGAAATGCTCTTCTTAAAGGTCCTATTAAGGGTTCGACGTTAAACAATCCTGCAAGAAAAGAAACGTTTACTAATAAACTGTTCAGTGATGGAGTTTCAAGTCACCACCACAACAACAACCAGTACTACGTTAACAACGGCCCTGAGAGAGACTACTCTCACAGTCGGGTTCAATCCGTGAACCCTCCCGGTAGATTTTCTGATATACCGTTTCTTCACGGATCTCTGGGAGTTTTTGGTACCATGGTTCGGAGTCCAGAAGAGAAGGCGCTTTTAGAAAAGCAACAACATCTAGGACAGTTGTCTGAACAGTTTGTCGAGAACGGAGGTTTTCAACCGTCTCAAATTAGCAAGGAGGACTTGGACAAGGGTATTGGCACCTTTGGTGCTTTTGCATCTGATTTGGAGCAATCAAATCCAAGGAAAAACAATTTTCAATTTGGAACTTTTGTGCATGACATGTCTTCAACTGGACAACAATCTGCAGAGGAAGAGGAGAAAATGATTGATAGTGCAGGAGCGTTTGGTGGTATTGTCAACCCAATGGTAAGTATCAAATATAACTATAAACATTTCTAGACTAAGAATCGGTAATGGTTATTATTATTATCTAATATTATTACATTAAACCATCGTTTTAATTTTCGTGTTCTAATTCTTTTTTGTTTTGTTTTTAACATTCGTTCTCAATTAAACTTCGAGAAAGATTACTTGTTAGGTTGAAATTATTCCTTTTAAACTTTAGTATAGATTTGGATAATATATTTTTGAAGTTAAGTGGAAACCGTTTCATGTGTAAAATACAAATATCGTATTAACTATTTATGCTTTGAATACTTAATATGTAACTAGATGAAAGCATATAAATTAATTTCATATCAGGATCATGAAACATTTAATTACCAATATCAATTAAGTTTATTAAAGTGTTATATTTAGTGTTAAACTCAAAGTCGGTTAATATTAAAAACCTAAACACGTCTTCACAAATAGTAAATATAGAAAATATAGAAGTCGGAGATTAAAATCTGACTACTTATATCATCATATTAAAGTGAGAAAATATTTGGCATTTAATAAAAACAATGTTTTTAAAAACCCAAGAAAATTATGAGACTAATTTATTGTTTCTAAACTTTCCCCTTTCACTGAAAGAAATTAGCATATATCAAAATCTAAATGTTTTTCTATGGAGTATTTAAAAAAGAAAACAGAAATTAAAAGAAACCAAATGTTGAAAAAATCAAGTAATTACCTTGACAGTCGTAAACAATATGTACTTTTCAGATTGGGGGATCACCAGTGAGAGTCATATGTGATCTTATGATACGTTTCAGGAATTCACTGCCACACTCCTAAACAAACTTATATTTTCACCCCTGTTGCTTTTTTTCTATATAGTTTGACAATATTTCTGTGGCGCGTAATGTATCTCACATAATTTTGGTTTTGTCACGTTCTTAATTTATTATAAAATTCTTATTTGCGTAAAAAATATCAAATATATAGTTGGAATGTTTTTTGTTGTCTTATGATATACAATTATCATGAATAACAACTGATCATAAATAAACTGAATAATTCAAATAAAAAAGATGTACTGAGCATAATGCACAGAGATGTATATTTGTATCACATCCAGAAAGACTATGCAACTGATTAGAAATTTAACCCGAGATTAAATGTATGGGGTGTATTTAGATTAAAATAATTCATTGATATCAAACAGAGTCAGCTTAAATCAACTTCTAGTTAGGTAATTTTGAAAAGCATCTGGTTTAGTTAGGTTACATCACCTCGCTGTTATAACGCAACATTGCTGGGATACCTATTTTCAGTTTGTTTGTTTAAGCGCCAATCTACACAACTGGCAATTAGCGCTGTGTCACCACAGGAACCAAACACAAAATTTTAGCGTTATAAGTCTTAAAGTTTACTGTTGAGCCACTGAGAGTCAGTTTCACTTTGACTCTCAAATAAAATGAAAAAAAATCATTAAATTTGGATGATCTCATGAATCATTATAATTTAATAAAATCTCTGTTTGGTTTGTATATTTTATGTACGTAAAATATTTGTTTGTTTAAAGAATGAACGTTATAACTAACATAATTGTATCTATTTATTTTCTAAAAACTGATTTATATCCATATTTCGATAAATAATTGATGTCATTTTGTTTTCGAGTCAAAGATTGTTAACGTAGTTCAGTAAAAAGGTAATTGCTAATTGTTCAGACATTTTATGACCCTCTAAAATGTCCAATGATTTGTACGAAGAGTTACATTCATTACTCCATTCTGAAAGTATCTAAGTTTCTTTAATTATATTAAAACGTCGACGAATGCTCAATCGTTTCCACCAGTCACTGGGCAGAGATAACTTCAAAAGAAATTCTATTCCTTGTTTTTCAGACACAAATTACGTTATTTATGCAAGTCCGAGTTCTTTTTATATTTTCAAATACTTATTTTAGAGCAAAGCCACATTCGGTTATCTGCTGTGTCTACCGAGGGGATTCGAACCCCGGATTTTAGTGTTGCGAGTCCGTAGAATTACCTCTATAATAATGCTAACTTATTAGCAGGTTAAAAAGCAGTAAAATGTTGAACGAAAAATGTCTCAAAAAAGATAATCAGTGATTCTGCTAACTGACAATCTAAGTCTAAGAAATTGTCTCTTGAACGTTGCTAGTATGTATATTTGTGTCTGTTCTTTTCAATACTTGACTTCTATTTGTTTAAACCAAACCAAACTGCAAACTGTTTATTATTTTACCAGGGTTACGAAACGGTACTTTACTTCCTTATTTCCTTTAAGTTACACTCTAAATCATTTGATTTACAGCAGGTTGTAACTTGTTTTATTTTGGAATAAGGAAAGAGAGTGTTTTATTACTCTACAGACTGAGATACCCGTCTTTTGTCCGGGTTATGAACTTTAAAAAATGTGTGGAGGATGCTGTGATAAATAACACCAAAATCTTAACTTTCATACAATTATCTATAACATAAAATATTATTACAGTATTCATTATTACCTCACCAAAGGTTTTGTATAAGCTTTAAGAACTCAATATTTGTATACATAAAACATGGTATACAGTGTGAAATGGTCATTGTAGAAAGAGGTAGCGGTAGTAGTGCTTTCTGTTACCCGCTTTGGACACCCAGCTCTTTTTTGTTCTTCAATAGTGTTCCACATGATTAATTAATTGACTGTCATTGGCTGCAGAAGTGTCTTTCAGGTCAAAGTTGAAACGTCGCGGATCAAAGTAGGAAATAGGTACAACTCAAGAAACTGCTCTTCATATCAGCCTTATGGTGGCTGTTGAAGTAGAAACTTCAGCAGAGTTTATGTATTATTGTAATAGTGGAGGCCATTTTTTTTTCACTGCATTCCTAGCTCTTCCCCACATTGTGTGTATCTTGTATTGTAAAAAATTTAATAAAGTTTTTTGGTGTAGAAACGTAGCACCATCTGTGAATGTTGTTGACGTTAATTTAAATCAAAGATAATAAATTCTCAATAACGGCAATAATGGGGGTGGAAGGAATTATGAACCTTTATTAACATGCCACTTGTTCCAAACTATCATTTAACAAAGTTTGGTTCAGATTGGCCCAGCGACCTAGGAGTAGTTAGATAACGGACAAACAGACAGACACGCAGATTTTTGTGCTTATATATATAGATAACGTGATTTTCAATTTCTACTGACTTTTCAAAAGTTTGACGAATGACATTTCTAGATAGATTTCCGGCTCTTTTTGTCGATATAACATTATAAGCTTTTGAGAGGTGCATTTCTCCCCTTCTACCCCAATATGTATAAACATACTTCTGTGTATCCTCTATTATGTCATTTCACACAAACATTTTGCAATTTTCAAGTTTCATATGTCATGGAGTTGAAAACAGCCGTTAACTAATGTCACTATGTACACTGTATTCCTATATGTATCATTTCCATGCTTCAGTTATTATACCTACTGTGGTTAAGCAGGACTTTGAATCATATTACCAGCATTGAGCTTTTTAGCTCTTTCTAATGACAACTAGCATATTCAAGATTACCTGCAGCAGAATGAAACTACGCTTCCATTCTGTTTTACTGTTTTGTTATACAGTGAAACAATTTAAGTCCTTGATGAAACCCATCCTTTAATTTTCTATTCGCAAATATGTCAACAGTCTTGGTCCATCGCACAGAATAACGTAGTGATCCACGAAGTACAACGATCTTGCTCTTTAGATGCTGAATCTTTGCATGTGGAGCTACCTCCAAATCGTTCGAAAAAAGTCTGAATACTCCACTATATGATTATTCTTATTGAGCAATAACAAAATTACGAGCATTAGATTTTTCTACCGGACAAAACCCATTTTGTAAAGTTGGCTCCGACAAGCAACTATAATCCAACGGTACCTGATAAATCAGCAGGCATGAAAACTCTTGACATAATTTCTAATATGTTCTAATATTTTAGCAAGAATGAAAGGAGGTTAACAATGGCAACATACAATATTTTATTAAGATTAAAATCATTTAAAAACGTGTTGAGTTTACGAAAGGGAGGTAAAAGCCCGTAGTGCAAACTTATGTAAATATCGTAAGTTACCTTTGTTACCTTTTCAGTTCCAAATTTTGGTTGTTAGTGTAGTGTGACTAACCGAAACAATTAAGTACGAGTTCTAAGAGGATTTTTTATTGTTGTTTGTTTTTTGAGGAATAAATATCTCCTGTTGTTGTTAGCTATTTCTCATAAAAATGTATTAACAATGTTAATCTCCTGATAGCCTTAACAACAGCAGTCTGTCAGCCCGTACGGTCTTTTTTGTTGATAGTAGCAGCATCTGACACAGAGCGCATATCAGAAAACCGCGAGGAATATCACGAGAGTTCCTGCATTTTTTCTGTGTGAATTGATCACAACCATGTAATACACCTTCTCAGATTTAGTGAGATTCGTTGGCTACGCGAGCCGTAGCGTACGGGAAGCGTTAAAAATATTGACAAACATTAACCATGTCTTACATGTATTTTCATAACAAGCTGTCAGGTTTGTACTTACCTGTCAATGATAGGAAAGCTCGAAAAATCGAATACCAAAAACATTAAAGATTTCCCCCTTTACTGACTTACAATGTTCAAATCAGGAGGTTCGATTCCGTGTAATAGCTAACTGTGTAAGATTGCGTCTTTTTTGATGTTGTTGTTGTTGTCTTC